GCCGGAGGTGGCGACTGGCACTGTATGAATTGAATAACATTCTGTTTGAAATTACGTCGAATTTCAGGTGCGTACGTGCTGCTGTACGGCCCACGTCTTCTTCCGATCGACTAAAGGCAACCGCCACACTTCGCCGACATGACTAAAACAGTTCAATGCACTCTTTGGGTTGTTGACTCTAAAATTGATCACGGGATCTGGGTAATGAAGTAAACCAGTGATTTCATTTCCGCTACTTGATGAACGCTGCTCTGATTGAAATTCATTGACCGCCATGCATCCGTTTTCTGCATCTTTGTTTCATCTTCCTGAATTCATCGCTAGACAGCACGGCCGATTCCACCGCTTCTAGTGATCCAACACTACTACTCTAGACTCTAGAAACAAACCATCTTCGAACTTTGCTAGAGGCACGATGATTTCAATTACAAGTCAGTTTATTACGGCAATGTAGGGTCAGTTGCACAACACATGAAAGTTGGACTTCAGTTGACGCCACCGCAGATTCCTGGACTCATCGATCCGGTGCCAGGGAAGAGGCTGTCGAGGAAGTCGAACATCCAGCAACCGGGGTCGTTGATATTGCGAGCGGTCCGTGCGCCTTCGTCAATGGGATGCGCGGTCCCAATCTGCGAGTCGGGCACCAGCATCAGGAAGTCGTTGTCGGCGATCTCGGCACCCGTGGCGGTCTCTAAAGCATGCGCAGATAAGGCTACCTTTATGACTGTATATTACCGCTTGCAATCTCGTGCGCCGTGGTGGTACCGCTATCGTCGACGCCCAGAGTTGCATAGGGCACGCTCTCCACCAAGCTAGCGTTCGCAGGCAGCTCCAGCACCGTCTAAGGTTCTCTCATTAAGAGCGTTTAGTAAGCTGCTCCTTACAGCTGGTGGCACGATGCCCTTGGAGACGCTCAAGGTCAGCTTCTGCGCGAGTTCCGTGTCCTTGACCGCGTCACCGGTGCCCCACTGCTTGAGCTCAGCCGCCTTCAGCTGGTTGAACTGCCGGCAGTAGACGCTGATGGAGTGGTCGGAGAACTAAAGCACAAGGTTGTCGGTTAGATGTAATGTCGGGCCAAGTACCTTACGCGGCGCCTTGCAGTGAGTTGAGTCCAGCGAGATCTTCACGCCGACGAAACTACGTGCCTTGATAAAGGTTGCTGGCGGGTCAACCTTCAGCAGTTGGGAGCACGACGGTTGTACCTACAAGTGGTAAGAAAACATCGCATCCTCGGCGAACGGCACGGCACAAACTACGCCACAGGCCACTGGAGATGCCTACCTTGGCGACGAGTGGTGTGTCAGTGTTGTTGCGTAGCACAAGATAGCGCGTCTTGACCATGTGCGACGACGACTCCGGGAACCTCATCTCGGCGACGGGCTCCAGCTTGAAGGCGGCAGACGCTTTGGCAGGCATGTGAAGTGAGAGGAGTAGGCGATGTGAAATCGAGCGGTCAGTAGTGACGAGCAGACGTTGTCTGAGGTCTGCGCGAAACAGAGGTCGTTTATGCCCGAAAAATTAGCATACAAAGATCCGCCATTGCAGCTGGTCATAGAAACACTAAAACATGTCTAAATACCGTAGACGTTCGAATGGATATTTCAAACATATTGTCGACGTTTCTATTAAGGCTTCTTTCCAAGTGACGTTTGGCTGAATAACATGCTCGGAGGATCCCTTAGCCGTACTTGCACTGGCTGCGGCAGCAGCTGCTCCGGAATATTGATTCTCGTTAAATTCGCCCAGCTTTGTTGTCCCATTTTACCTTACCGCTACGCGGAGACGTTAAAATGATCAGCCATTTGATGATTGAATCGTTTCTTTTCCTTCCTCGGATTGTACTCGACGGAATCCGGATTGTTCACACCGACTGGAACCGTTTCATGGACCGCTTCTCGCAAGACCTTCCTCTTTACCACGTTGTAATAGACTGGAACATCGTAAGCAAGATTTTTTTTACCCTTGCGGCTGGTTAATGACTTGCATTGCCTAGCGTTCCAACAATGATATACAAGCCCGTGCTGTCAACTATAACACGATGGGACCAGACGGCAGACCATGTCACAAAAGCCTGATATCTCCTTCTGCCGAGGAGTATGTGATATGCTCGCAGGTACAATTGTGGGTTAGAAATGCCTACTACTGCCAGTACGTAACGTGTAGCCGATCTGAGGACGTAAAAATCGCTGCGAAGGTAAATACGTACGTTGCATCATAGAGCCGTTCAGTTGTTCATTATGCCCATGGTTTAGCTATACGAAGATTCACTGGCTGTGTCTCAGATTTTTTCAACATGGTCCAGCACCGGATCAGAGTCGATCAGTCAGGGAAATGTTGGAGCTGTTTTCCCTCATTGACTCACTGATGACACCTACAGGTTTAATGTTGGAATTCTACGACTCCGATCTCTTAGACGTGACAGATAACCAACTGCTCCGCCACCACGTTATTTCTTGTCTGCAAATGGATCTGGTACGTTACCAGTGAGGGAGCTATCAAGAGACAACAGGTTCTAAGGTCGGGTCTTGCACCAAGAAAGTAGTCCCGATTTGCGCCTTGAAGACAAGAATTAAAGAACCTCGCGACAACCTTAACATTACTAAGAAGGTAATTCAAATTGTGGCAAGTACCCGGTGCAAAAGCGGTCCATAAAATGGCCAACTTTACATTTCGCGCCTAAATGTGCTAAGGAATCAAGCAGTAAGCGCATAATGTCGGAACGTAAACATAATTACGCGATGAATGCGACATTACCAGGTCGAGTACTACGAATAACACTGTGTCCTCCCTCCCTCCCTGGTTCCAATAGTTCTGCTCGCAGATAGGGCCTCGGATCGTCCAAAATTTTCACGCGACGTCGTGGAATTAGATCGCTTGTCATCCTTAAAATACATGCGGACATCGTTTCAGTTGAAAACCTCGCTTCGAACAGGTCTTGTATTCCCGGTGTCAACCAGAATTCCAGCTTAAAATCCCTGACCGGAAACCTCTAGAACACACGCTAGCAGTTTACGACTGCGCTAAGTATTATGCCGCCGTAGAGCGCCGTATTAGGTGTCGATGAATTGGTCGTATAGATTGGTCGAAGTGAGTGCTGTATACCTCGTTTTTGCGGACCTTGCTTTGACTCGGACCCATACGGGAAGGGGGGATTGTCACCCCTTACCCGGAAGCTGCCAGGAGGAACGAGCTGCTTGACCAAACCCCAACGGGATTCAGTCAGACCCCGTAACTGTCCAGTTAAGTGGGAAAGGCATAAACTCTCAGACGTGATAGATCAGACGGTAGGTATAGATGCAACTAACAATTCCGCGGTACGACTACCGTATTTGAAATTTTTCAGAATTTACACGACTGTACGAAGCACAAATTCGATGTGTTTTGGAACGAAGTCCTTGGTCACTTATGCAACTGCAGCCACGTCGAGATTAGAGCAAATTTTAAAGCTCAGCACATCTCGTTATTCTTGGAAGTTCTCGTTGAGGTATGCCTTCTTCAAATCGTAACGCTAACTCCCATTCCATTCCCATTTTAGCAAATTCAACGTATTAGTGACTTCTCGACAGTTCCGAATGGCATCTTAATCTCGTTTTTCCATGATGTTGTGCAAGCACCTTTGTTTCAAAACCTGCGTCCCCGATCGGGATGCTTGGATTTGTGCTCGTACATCAGTTTTCCTGCTTGTGCATTCGTCACCTTCGAAGTGCAGGATACCTCGCAGGACGTCTATTTCCTCCGCACAATGCTACCCGACACTAATGTAAAATTGATTCATATCAAGCACAAGTTTCGGGACTTTGTGTGGCTCACTCCCAGTGACGAAGAATAAACGAGTGTACCACTTTCAGCGTTAACAAACGACATGTTTTACTCAAAATATACGGGTCCGCTGAAATTCTCGGTGGATAATTTCACCGGGCCTACTGGTAGAGACATATCCATGAACTCTAAAGCGCTGGCGTTTGTACGTTCCAAAACAGTTTCCGCAATCCGATCATATTTGGAGACCGGCGTTTTCAAAAAAAAAGTGTGTGCCATCAAGTTTATGATTACGGCCTCGATGGGCTGATTACGGACTATGACGGGCTCGATGTAGCATGGGTCCCATTGCGGGCAAGGAGGCGAAGCTTTGTCAAATAGCGCCATGAGGACGTTCAGGTCGCTCCCACCAAAGCTAGGCGTGCGTGAAGTGCAATGGCGAGACGAAATCGTTCGATTCTCCTCGTCGAAAATGTGAAAGCGCCCGACGAAAGTACACGCTTCTGCTAGGTGAAGAGCTCACACATTTGGTAAGCTTGTATTGGATTTGGACTCTCGCCATTTTATTCCAAAACGTTCCGTTCCACGGTACATTTTTTCGGCATACACCCCCGTGCAATAACAACGCAATACCGTAATTTACGGTTACGGTTGCATTACGGCCCCTAAGTACTGGACGGCTGTGATCACGTCTTGCTTCAATACAACTCTCATCAACAAAATTTATTCCAACAAAGTTATGAACCAGACTACCAAGCCTGGACTACGAGCATGAGCAGTCCATAGTGAAGGATTAGCACTTGCGTCACTCCCGCTTCTGCACAGCCGAAAGATCGCTCCATGTCCACGACCGCTGCCTCTCGCAACGGTGCCATAAGGACGCTGTAGTTCCCAGCAGCATACGTGGTCTTTGCGATGTTGTATGCTTTCTGAGGCGTCCTGCAATGAACGAGAAGTACCTTCTTTCATTTTAAGTACCTTAATTCATATGGTAACCCCATAGGTGTACCATATGAATTGAATTAAATCTCTATGGTGCGATATTTCTCAACCCCTTTGCAAGCGAATGCCCGAGAAAAGCAGGAATTTAGGTCAAATGGACATTTCATCGAATTATGTGAGGTCCAGTCATTTTCGACGCACCCCACGCATTATTTTTTCATCGTACTTTCGTACACATCCTATTTCATAAATTTTCCACTTTCTTTCCCGTTCTTGATCCTTCTTGTTGCCTGAACAGCAGCCGTATGGCCGAGTGGTCTAACGCGCAGCGCGTCTTCAATCGCTAGGTCAGGGGTTCGATCCCCACCGCGGCGTAGGATCACCAGGCCACCCAGCCTACCATCGACTACACTTTTGATCGGTCAAGGGGAAACCACCTTCGGGCGGGAAATCGAACAAGCTAACGATTGCGTCCGAATGCGCTAAGCAATGTGCACTGATGCCTGGGGGCGCGCATTACCAAGGTCATATGCTATGGTGACCAACGGGAGAGCGAACGGTACTGCATGCTCTTAAGGACCCCGTGGTTTTTTTCTTCCTTACAATCCTTCTCGCGCAACTTTGATCGAAGTAATGAAAGTTGCGTCAGATGATAAAAAAGACTGCCGAAAGACTGTCCCAGAACGATCCCCATACTCTAAAACGTTGCTTTTCCGGCAGGTCAATTTTTGCCTCTAAGCACCAAAGGGTCCCTGTTGGGGGTAGGTGTTTGTAATTTACGTTTTTCGGTTTGTATTTATCAGCATTCCGGAATATATGTGGATACCTGGGACGGTAATTACCCAAATTGCCTATAAATTAAGTTATCCAAGTTATTTGTGAAATGGGGTTTTTAAACCAGAATGCACTTAGCGCTTACATTTTTTCTCCTTTCTCGTCCATTTCCTTCCACCCATCGGCGATAGCCTCTTCGACCTTATGAAGGTGGTGCCCTGTGAAGCTCTTGACTTTGTCTACGCCCATTCGACTAGGTTAACTGAACCTATAATTTGGCCATAAATACAAGTTAGTGAGTGAACTTGATGACACCGTTAACTAAATTAGATGAACCTGCAATTTGGCCGTAAAGGCAATTAACTGAACGTAACGAATGGTGCTTCATGCGTTTTTTTTCACCCGACTGTACCCATGCCTTGTGGCGCGCGTTTCAGCTGCTCATAGTCTGCTTTTTTCCCGCAGACGACGGTGTCTTCGCTGATCTGCACGCAATTTTCTCTGAAAACACCCTTTCGACATTACCGCGGCCGTAACGAGCGGTCCTGCACGCCGCTCGAGGATGCAACTACCGGCCGAGAGAGGCGCTCTTCACCCCGGCTCGTCAGTGGAACCCTTGCCAGCTCTTCAGCTCTCACTCCCATCGCCCGTGCCCTTTCGAGATAGTCTGGCAAGGGCGCGAAGAAGCCCGTGTCCCGACTCGAACACTACAACAAGCGGTGCATGATTTCGTCTTACGAAAGCGAGCACGCCGGCGAGCTCGCCAATATGACGTTTCCGAGGGTGTCCGAGAAGTTGCGGACTTGCAACCCCTCGACCTACTTCCCGTCAGTTTGGCGCCACACGGCCTTTAGGTCCACATTCGAAGACTACCCTATGCTGAATACCTAAATTTCGCTCCTCTTCTTCGTAACAAAAACTTTTTCGATTATTTATCTGAATTTCCAGACTACGTGCTAGAAATTTGAGTGTGTATTGCTCACAGATCCTGGCCGTTGTTTATTTCTTGGATAATTGGTATTGCATCTGAGCGAGTAATGCGTTTTTTTGGATGAAGTTAGTGACGTAAAAAAGGAAAGATCATCGAAGATGCAAGAGTGCAACCGACAATCGCATTCGAGGCAAAGTGAGGAACAATCGGCTATCAGGAGTATAAAACGAATAAATGATGGAGGGGACATGAGTCGAGCTTTATGCAGTAAAGCGGGTGGCCTGGAGCTTGCTATCCATGTAGCCGAGCATCTTTGTGAGCTCGGGTCCATCAACAAGCACCTGCTGATGTCTCGGGATGTTCTGCGGCATAATCGCCCTAAATTGTAGAGTTAAGCAGAATTCGGGTCTTCAGTGCTCACTTCATCTCCTTGTAGTTGTTGAAGCCGCGCTTGGCCAGCTCGTCGGCCTGGTAGACCGGCTCCGGAAGAGAGATGGCCGAGGTGACGATCTGGTGCTCGAAGCAGAGCGCGTTTAGCAGTGCCTGCAGCTGATCGCGAGTGATCTTGGTCTCGTTGATCGGCACGGCGTACTGCACCGCCTTGCCCGTGCCCTGGATCGGGTAGTGCGACTGCATGTAGAATTCTGAAACCGCAAAGGTCCTGAAGGAATGTAGGTACCGCTCTCACCGGGGCAGTCGGTGCGAGTGAACTTTTCCTCGACCACCGAGCCAGGAGCCATGTTCTCGAGGCGACCGTTGCGTTCCACCATGAAGCGCTTGAAGTGACGCTTGGTGCCGATTACGAAGACAAACTTAGGATGGTAGCCCCGACGGTAGTCCTCGCAGCCTGCCTTCAGAGCCGGAAGCTCCTCGTCGGCTGCCTAAACACGTGAATTTCGATCGTCTTGAACTGCGCGTCTACCATGCGGAACTGTCCTTCGGAGATACCGTCGCGGACAACCACGATGGTCTCGGGCTCGGCATGCTGGGGACGATTCTGCTTGAGCATCTGAAGGAAGCGCGTCATGCGCAGTTGGAGCTGCATGCAGTCGACCGCCTCCTTGCGTGACTCCTGGTAGAAGTAGTCACCCACGAAGTTGTGCGGATGACGCGCGACGTTCGCCGTGATCTGCAAAGAAGCATAAATCGTACGCACGTAAGCACTGACGACTCACGCCAACAACCGACGGCTCGAGAGACTCGACGGTGAGGCCCAGAGAATGGCGAAGTCGACGCTCGGCGGACTTCATCGGCGGCGGGTGGGCGACGTCGTAGCCCAGCACGAGGATCTTGCCCTGCTCGAGACCGTAGTCATGACTAAAATGGAGCTCGCTTATTTGGCCGTTATACGTTCACGATAATCAGGTTAAGCGCTTACGCAAGGGGTTCGATGATCGGCTCGTAGTTGATGCCGGCGTTCTTCACGTTGGTCTTGTAGAGAATGTTGTCCAGGGTCATGATCTTGCCCTTGAGCACGTCGCTGACACGCTCCATGGTGACGTGCTGAGTGAGGATCTTGTAGAGCGCCTCGCAGAGCTTTAGCTTGCCTGAAAATCATTACTAGTGGGAGGTGGGATGCTTTGCAATACCGTGTCCATCCGTATCGCGACGAGGATCGACGTACAGCACGAAGTTGACGCCGTCCTTAACGAACTGGCCGAAGGTTGCAGGCCAGTCACCACGGAAGTCTTCGATGCGGTAGTTGCCGAACTTCATGCCCTTCTCGAGAGCTCGCTTCTCGACGACCTTCATGAACTGGCTAAAGCACCTGGTTAACGACTAGATCAAGGTTTGTAAGTACGACTGCCTCAGTGCTTACTTCATGTCCGGACGGAAGCGTTCCCGGCCAAAGTTGCACAACACAACGGTGTTCGTGACCATCACCGGCTCGAGGAGCCGGGCATGCTTCGCATCCGCGTCCCACCTAGCCTGAAACCGAATATTTGAGTCGAACATATTCTGCAACAAAAACAAACCTTTTCGGGGTTCGGATTGATTATCTTGTTGGCGCCCATGCGCATCTGAGGCTGCTTGCGAACTTTGGCAGCGTCCTAATAGCGGAAATGATTCAGACTGCTTTTACGGGCGAATACCTTGTGCGAGTTCTTGTCGATGGTGATGCCGAAGCCAGCGAGGACAGCGTTGTTCGGATTGAAAAGCTGGAGATCATCCGCATGCTCCAGGATCTTCGCCATGCGTTGAGCGGGCGGCACAGCAGTCTCCTAAACAGAGAAGCTCACTATGAGAACTGCAAAGAGTAGCACCTTGATGATCATCTGAGAGAGCTCCGTGTGCGTCTTGTCCATGGGTACACGCTGATCGGGCATGATGATGAGGTCCTCGACTGCGAAGTACTCCCGGACGCCCTTCTTCAACGGAAGATCCGACTGCACAGCGAGCATGTTGGGGCTGCAAGATACGAATTATTGCCGTCAACAACTTTTTTGCACTTTGCGGAACATGCTCAAAGCGGAATGCTTACTCGATTTCCATCTCGTGATAAGCGCGGTAGAACTCCACGAGGTTCATCTGACGCTTGTCCTGAGTGGTCCTAAAAACATCGATCATCGGAGTAACTTTAGTCAACTTGGGTACTTTATGAGCTTGCTGACGGGCTTGTCGGAGAAACCTCCAATGCGGAACGTGCGTTGCGGCTTGCGCTCCACGTATACGCGAAGCTCTTAAACGTGGCAGAAATGACTCATCGTTGGACACCTGCACTAACCATTCAGCTGATACTTGACGCGATCCCAATTGCCGCCACGTGAAGTGAGGACCTCTTGGATGGTGGTCTTCAACGGCTGGCTCTTGAAGAAAGGACAGGTCGTTGCTAAAGAAAACAGCTTATTTAGCGGGCTAGCCAGAAAGAACTCACCGTCAAGAACAATAGCAGGAGTGGGCTGCCCGTAGTTCTTGACGACCTTCACGCCCTTAGCGACTCCCGGACGCAGTAGCATGCCGAAGCCGATGTTGCGGAACTTGCGCTCGTCGTTGGTGAAGAGCTTGCCAGCGCCAATGGCGGCATACTCGTTCCTACAAAGCTTGTAGCTGATACTGAAGTGGCATTCGTGCTGCCGAACCTGTTGAGAACGTCTTGCGAAGTGAGAAGCTCGAGGAAGGTGCGCAGAGAGCGGTCCTCCTGGTAGAGCGACGTACCGTTCGTGTACTGCGCGATGTCTGTGAGGTCCAGCTCGGGAACCTTGAGGTTCGGGAGGATCTTCACGATAACCGCGCTGTCGCCGGGAACGTAGGTCTGGAGTTGGTAGTCGTTCGGGATGTAGCCGAACGGAATGTCGATTTGGGTCTAAAGTGGTGATTTCGTCAACGTGCATTCTTCGCTGGATCAAACCCGCTCGAGCTGGATCGGCTTGTTGGTGTAGAGTGTGCTCCGCATGTCGTACACGATCTCGCCAAGCGCGTTGTCTGGCCAGCCGAAGTTGGTGTTCGTGTAGGCGAGCGACACGGCCTCGTAGCATAGGTTCTTGTTCAGCGCCTTTTGACCGCTAAATAAATTTATAGATTTTGCAGTGAGTGTGTTTCAAAATCAGGTGCCCGTAACCCTCGATATTGCGAAAACCTACTCATCGGACGCCTTCGTGAAGCTCTTCAGGTTGTCCAGGCGGTAGACCTCAACGTCATAGCGGTAGGCCTTGCTGCCAGGCCGAACGTC